CGTCGTGAAATACATCGACTGGTTTTTTTTGGTCGTTTGTGGACTCTGGGGGCCCTTACGGGCTCCCGGGATATATTTCCCCGAGACGTACGCAAATCCTTCTCCACGCGAGGCGAATTGTTGTATGAACGGTCCATACAAAAGGACAGATCGCCAGATATACACGATCTGCGGTGCCCTCATCTCCCCCGTACCTCCCGAGCCAACGAGAGTGACGACGATTGCGCACTTCATAGCCTCCCAGGGAGCTGCGAGGTCTCGGCTGGATCCGCGTAACCCCCGACCTCTGCTGGACCCCCCAGGAGCCCACGAAAGTGGCGAGAGTTGCGCACTTCGCAGCCACCCAGGGAGCAGCGAGTTCTCGTCTGCGTCCGCGTGGCTCCCGACTCCAGTGGACCTCCCAGGAACCCACGAGAGTGGTGGCAGTTACGCAGTTGACCTGCCAGGAGCCCACGAAAGTGGGACAGTTGCGCAGTTCGAAGCCTCCCACGAAGCAGCGAGGTCTCGGCTGGATCCGCGTGGCCCCCGACTTCGCTGGCCCACCCAGAAGCCCACGAAAGTGGCGAGAGGTGCGCAGTTCGCAGCCACCCAGGGAGCTGCGAGGTCTCGGCTGGATCCGCGTGGCCCCCGACTCCGCTGGACCACCCGGAAGCCCACGAAAGTGGCGAGAGGTGCGCAGTTCGCAGCCACTCAGGGAGCAGCGAGGTCTCCTTTGGGTGCGCGTTGCCCCCGACTCCGTTGGACCTCCCAGGAGCCCACGAAAGTGGCGAAAGGTGCGCAGCTCGCAGCCTCCCAGGCAGCAGTCAGGTTTCGTTTGGGTGCGCATAGCCCCCGTCTCCTCTGGACCTCCCAGGAGCCCACGCACGTGGCGACAGTTGCACATGTTTCCGCCACTTTGGGAGCAGCGCAGGAGCAGGGGGGAGGTGGGAGGAGGAGGAGGAGGAGGAGAAGGAGGAGGAGGAGGAGGAGGAGGAGGAGGAGGAGTCGCGACCGCAGCGCTCTATTCAAAACGAGAACCCAGCACAAGAGGGTTGCGGAACCAAAAGTTCTCGGGATGAAGAGCGGCCCTGGGGAAAGGGTCGGGACTTCCAGGGACTGCGCATGGAACAGATCAAGACGTCCCATGTTTGGGGACATCCGTCCGAGCACATGGGATCAGGATCGTGCTCCTCTTCCTCCGCAGGCGAGGAGGCCGCTGCCATTGCAGCATTCCCAGCTCCATCCTCCATCGGGTCCTCCTTCAGGGCGCGGAGCGTGTACATGTTCCACTGGGGCAGAGTGCAAGAGGGCAGAGGGGAACTTGCTTGAGAGGAGGAGGGAGAGGAGGAGGAGGTCGGAGTCGGCCAAGGGCCCGTGTCAGCAGAAGGGCCGAAGTATGGGAATCGATCTCAGCGCAGGGTTTTCAGGGGTCCCGATCCTGTCCCCATGAGGTCCCGCCGCTCGCCCCGAGCCTATTTTTGTATCTGTTGACGACCCCCAGGGCCCAGATCAGAGTGCCCAGAGATTCTCTGGGCACTCTGATCTTGTGAAGTCCAAAGCCCGGATAATGTGGCGCAAGAAAAGGCCTTCCAGAGTCTGGAAGGAGCTCTGGAAGCTCTGATAAGGATCTTCCAATAGAACTTATGGAGAGGTTAACGGCACACGTATTGGGAAACAGTTAGAAAAGGCTTGCCGGAACACGATGCAAGCTCAAACAAGTTGTTGTGGGGATTTTCCCACGGAAGCCGGAACCAGCTCTGGGGCTACTTTGCGGTGCCGGCTTCTTATCTGATAACCTGTTTAGCTCTACGAGGAGCTTTCTGGGAACAATCCTCCGCACTGACTTTATCAAGGACGTCGTACTTTGGAAACCGGCATCTCATTTTTTCTAGCTGGGCGTTTTCGCGCAGCTTTGGGCCAGGTGACTCTCACAGATCGATCCAGCTAGAAAAATTGCGCAGCAAGATGGGGTCCAGGTCTTGAGTCTGATTTCTCACGACGTTGCATGTTTTCGCTACGTCGGATCTCAAGGTATGTTTCTTCGCTGAGATCCAGCACCGCGAACAAACACACAATTTCGTGAAAAAACGCGACCAGAGCTCCAGGCCTCATCTCTCTGTTGCACGTCTCGAGCTGGTTCGATCTGTGAGGGGCCCCAGGCTCGGAAAAGGATCGCATGTTCCCTCGGAGGTGCCACCGCCCTCGTGCTTCCGCCGGGAGTGGGCCGAGGCCGACGGCGCTGCCTCGGCTACGCGTGAGAGCGACCCTTCGCCGGAGTATCCTTTGGTGCGCGGAGCTCGCTGGGCGCGGGCGGGGGGCCGAGCCTGATCACGCAAGCCGCTAGTGTCACATCGCATGCCACGGTCGGCAAGCCGTGGCCGCGCGCCAAATCGGCATCAACGGGACATACTTGTCCTATGTGCGCGTCGACCTCCTGAAGGCGACGCGCGCGCCCTGGAATCTCGCAGTATATGCCTGGTGGGGGGGGCGCTTTCCGGCCATACCGCCTGGGCAACGATATGCTACGCGAGGTTTATGCCATTTGTTCGGTTCGGACGTGCGCCTTCGAGGAATGCGAATAGTGTTACACCCATGGGGTTTCTTAGGACAACAAGTTTCTAGATCAGAGTCTGAGTTGTCTTTCCCAGTATGAGATAATCCAGGTCCCAGGGTAGACTGCGGAGATTCTCGAAGATCCGTAGTGTCGTCTCTCCCCCCATAGGCTAGGTGGATCTAGACCACGAGCTAAGGAACCGAAACCCGCAGAGTCGGGTTTCGTGGGATAACGTTTTCTTTACCATACGTTCAGGTGTATCGCCACCGCTCCTGTTCTTCTGTCGTCTGGGTAAGGGGCTGCGGCCCGCAGACCTCTGGGACCTCCTCGCAGGCGCCTGGACGCGATGAGGCGAGACATAGCAACAAGCAGCGACGAGCCTCAACTGTGGCTCTCAGTGATTGTGGACCTGTGTCTGGTCTCGGCATTCTTAGAATCTCTTGCGCCGTCCAGTGTAGTACCGTATGCTCCCCCGCGCCCCACCAAAGGCTACAGGGTCATGGGGTCACTCTTGCGAGTAGCCCACAGCCGTGGCCCACGACCGCCCCGCCGCGCGCCTCCGCGCCCTGTCGCTGAACATCCTCGCGGACGGGCTGTGCGCAGGGGGCGCCCAGGGCGCGTCGCCGGGCCCAGACCGCCCCGCGCTGTTCGCCGCGGGCGGGCGCGCCGGAGGCGTCGCCCGCCTCGAGGAGGGCGCCGCCGGCGCGGGCATGCTGCGGACCTCCCGGGTGGGCTTCGGGGCAGATGCGACAGGGGAGGGCAAGGTGCCGACACCACTGCCCCTGTCTCGTTTTCGCCTGTCTGGGCCTCCCGGGCGGCCCTGTCAGCCAGGGTTGGAGTCGCCTCGAGGTTCTGGTCAGAGCGGATCCGAGGAGAGGTCCGGGGAGTAGCAGTACGATAGTATCGGTATTGTTGTATCCCCTCAGATTCGTGGTCGGAGGCTCGCGCCGAGGCATCGCCGGCGCATCGGCGGTGATTCGGCGATCGGGGTGGAGGAGAAGGCCGGGCTCCACAGAGCTCCAGATACGGCGCGGTTTGGAGCCCGCTGTTCTCCGTCCCGCCGTCGCCCCGGTGCGTCGGCGAAACATCGGCGGTGCGGCGCGATCCTCCGACCCCGTCTGCTCTGGCCACATTTGAGAGGCCCGCAGCCATGCAGTTCACCTTCCGCGCCCCAGATGAAGCGGTCTGCTGGTCGCACCGTTGGACGCTCCTGCTGGCAATGATCCTCGAGCACGACCCAGACATCATCGGGCTGCAGGAGGTGGACATGCTGGAAGGGGACCGCAAGCACAAGACCCCGGCCCACGACAAGGAGATCAAGCGCGATCTCGCGAGCGCGGGCTACGACGGTGTGCTCGCACGAAAGTACGGGAGGGCCTGCGACGGCGTCGCTGTGTTCTGGCGGCGGTCGCGGCTGCGGCCGGAGGGCTCCTGCAAAGGGCTCAGCCTAGGATCCGTCCACGTGGCGCTGCTGCAGCCGCTGATCCTGGACTCGAAGAAGAACAAAACTGCTCAACATAAACTTCCGAAACTCCGCGCGGATTTCTTGGATCGGGGCTGGACACCCTTCTTGTCGCGCGGAGCGCGCCAGGAGCGGCCCCAGAGGCGCCGCCAGGAGGACCCAGCGCCGATCCGAGAAATCGGCGTGGAGCTCCGAAAGCTCATGTTGATGCCGTTGTTTCTTCCTCCATGGACGACTGCTGGGAGCTGGCTGCGGTGGCCACCCACCTCAAGGCTGGACTCTCCAAGGACGCGGAGGACATGCGCAGGAATCTACGCCTCCCAGATGGGGTCGGAGTAGATAGGTTTGGAGCATCGCGCCGCACCGCCGATGCATCGGCTGTGCGGTTCGATGTGGAGCCCGATTTCCTCCACGCCGCAGCGCAGATGCATCGCCGACGTCGCCGATGCTTCGGCAATGCGGCGCGATCCTCCGACCGATTCCACTCGACGAAGGAGGAGAGAGGAGGCGGAGGAGGGGTGAGGATGAGGAGGGGGAGGAGGAGGAGGGGGAGGAGGAAGAGGAAGAGGACGAGGAGGAGGAGGAAGAGGAGGGGAGGAGGAGGAGGAGGAGGGGGAGGGGGGGAGGGGAAGGGGGAGGGCGAGAGGAGGGAGGGGGATGATGATGATGATGATGATGATGATGATGATGATGATGATGATGATGATGATGATGTTGTTGTTGGTGTTGTTGGTGTTGTTGGTGCACTTGTTGTTGGTGGTGTTGTTGCTGCTGTTGTTGTTGTTGTTGTTGTTGGTGTTGTTACTGCTGCCGTTGATGATGGTGACGGCGATGATGAGGATGAGGATGAGGATGAGGATGAGGATGAGGATGAGGATGAGGATGAGGATGATGATAATGATGATGATGATGATGATGAGGAGGAGGAGGAGGAGGAGGAAGAATAGGAGGAGGGGGGGAAGGGGAGGAGGAGGAGGAGAAGGAGGAGGGGACCCCATATGGGAGGTCTCTACAGGAAGCAGGGGGCGTCCTTGCTGCAGCAGCTCAAGGGGCGCGCCGACGTGTTGCTACTCGCCGACCTGAACGCCCACTGCAGGCCCTGGCTGGACGACGCGGGCCGCCTGGTTGAGCCGCAGGCCCACCCGCTGCTCGCGTCCGCCCTGTGGAGCGCCTACGAGGCTGGAAGAAGACAGAGGGGCACAACCATTAGGTTTGTTATGCGTGAGAGTCGTTTTAGGTATGAGTTGTTGTCTTCCCGGGCGATTGGCTTTTGTCATTGCTTAGTAGTGATCGGTCATGGGCCTCTACGATGCACTAATAGAGACTAATCGGCGCAACTGATCGTTTCCAAACTTATTTAGTCGCGTCTCGGGGGTGGATGGGTGGGGTATGCCGTGTAAGATAGTCGTGCAGGTATCCGATTCAGGCCGCCAGAGAAAACTACCCTTTTCAGTCAAAATGGGTCGTTTTCGTCCTTCATCCTGCCTCGTCGGTCTTGCGTGTCCGCTCAAGCTTTTTCCGCCTCGAAGCTTTCGAGCCAGGAACTCGCGCGCTCGTCCGCCTCACCAACGCGGGGCCTCGCAGCGCGAGCACACGATCGTCGGCATCACGGCGAGGCGGTGGTGGCTCGCCTGGGCCGCTCTGTTGTCCTACATCGGGGACTTCGGCGTCCTCGACCCCTTCTTTGCCAAGCCGCTCGTAGAGCCTGAAGACGACGCGTCCCTCAGGTACACTCGCAAGTCCGACAGACTAACCTTCTAGGATTACCTCCGCGTGCACATGTCCAGTGTGTCACGATGGAGCAGATTTAACAGGACGACTGATCCCCAGCGTGGACAAATTGTCTTGAAGGTGATAAGGATGTACCCCAAGAAAAAAACGACACGATGTGGATCGACGTCAAACCGGACCGCTCCCTGGTGGTCGGCGACATAAAGGATCGGACAAATCTGGCGAGTTGCCGTCAGCAGGGGTGGGATTACGAGGCCTTCCCCACCTTGTCGGGCGCGGAGAAGACGGAGGCTCTCGAGAGGGCCAATGAAAAACACCCGGAAGCCGAGCTCTACCTCAGCAGTATGCGCGGCTGGGTCTCCTACTTGTCCTGGTTTCGCTCCAGGGTGGTCGGCCTCCAGGGGCACCCAGAACTGGGAACCTGAGGCGGTGGATGCGGTGGACGGCTGAGAAGCTCGAGGACGGCCACAACTTCCTTTTGGCGGTCGACGACTTCAGGGGCTATCCTTTCGACCTGTACGAGGACGGCAAGCTCGAGATCCCGATCATGATCTTCACGGCGCTAGTGGCGATCGGGCCGAGCCTTTACCGCCGCTGTCGTCAGCGCTCCACGGCCTTCTTGGCGAGCGGCACTCCGCCTGGGAGCGACGGGGACATCGATGGGGAGACGGTGCACTCAATTGCAGCATCATCCGACGAGACCGAGCCGTCCAAGGATGTTCAGGAGATGGAGGCGATGATGCGCAGCCTCCCAGACGAATTCCAGTCAGCGCCGACCATCAGCGGCGTCACGTGGGGACAGCAGTCATTTCAGCTGGGAGAGACAGAGCAGCGCCCCCACCGAGCCCAACATGGACGCGCACGTGGACTGGATGATCGACCGCTTGAAGACATTCGAGGACACCATCAACCGAATCGACCTCTTTCAGGCCGCAAACTGATTCAGTATATTTCGGCGGCGGCGGCTGCTCGCTTTGCGACATGCCCCGCGATCGACCCGAGGGCGTCAGCGAGTTCGGAGGGGGCCGGAGTCAGTCTCGAAACCCTGCGGGAGGCCCTGCGGGGCCCTCGGGAGCGGCTGCTCGAGAATTTTTCGACGATCGATGCTCTGCCGACGTTCGCCCTCCCAGCGGGTCTCACCTCGAGGGTGGCGCCCGAGCACCTGGCCCAGACCTACGGGAAGCACGGCAGCACGCTGAAGTTCGCGGCGGGCTGGGTTCGCTCGAAGGAGCTGAGCCGCGACCGCGTCGGGCACGAGATGCTGCTGCACCGTGAAATATTGGATATGATGTTGGAGCCCCCCCCCTTCGGGTTCACGCAGGCCGCCGGCTGCGAGATCCTCTGAGCGCGGGTCTACGCGTTGAAGAGGGTTTCCAAGGACGCGCCCTGCATCAGCGACTGGGAGCAGCCGAGGGAAGCGGTACCACCGAGTAGACGTCCAAGGCGCGGTGGGATCTAGCGAACGAGCTGGATTGGAGGTCCCTCACGGACGGCGAGGAGTCGCTTCTTGGAGCGGGGCGCGACCTGGCGGAGAGGCCACAGCAGAAGGCCCTCTTCCAGAAGCACCCGCAGAAAGCGGGCTCGGATGCAGCCCGGGAGGAAGACGAGCAGACGACGGGCAATCGTGCCTTTTGCTGCTGCCGAGCCGCCCCCCCGCGCCCGCAGGAAAGGCTGGCGGTTCGCTGCTCCGCTCGCTCTGGCGACGGCCACCCAGGCGGGCTTGCTTTTTTGGCGGCGTTCACGGCGCCCCTGCTGGTCGCGACGTTATTATCGCGTGGTGCTGCCGCTCCTGGGAGGCGACGCCATGCCCACATTTCTTCGCGCGCGCTTCTCCGTCTACCTCGACAGCAGCCGTCGGACCGCCCCCTGAAACCGTTTCTCGCGATCGAGATCATCCTCAGGACTTGCCGCCGCTGCCTTGGGCGGTGGTGGCGCGCCGCGCGGGGCCGATGCAACGTGGCGCCCTTCGACAGGTGCGAGCTCTCTCCGACTGGCTGGTCCGATCCATGCGCCGCCCATTGCGGGGCGCGGTCGGGGCGGCCGAGGGCGCGGGCCCGTCGGCCCCGCGCGGGCGGGCGACATCGCTCTAGAGGGCCACGTCGATGGGGCCCCCGGAGGCGCGGCTGGCCTCGTGGTGGCCGCGATCAAGGGGGGCGAGGATGCCGCCCTGCAGCGCGCCCTGGCCAGTCGGGTCTCGCCGTGCTCGGGCGATGGGGTTGTGGCGGCCCTGGGAAAAGACTGGAAAAGGCAAAGATATGCTACCACAGGGGGCGATGTGCTCGGTCGACGCGGGGGGGGCCGGCGCTTTCTCCGCCAGGCGCCATCCCCGCCAAGTTCGCGGACGCGCGCCCGCGGCCGAAAGGTGACTTGGGGTGGCGCTTCGGGGACCGAGCGGGACCATGAACCAGGAGTTTCTCAGCCAGAAGGTCTATCGCGACCGATTCATTTTGATGGCGGGCTGCTCGGCCCCGCCTGGCCGAGGGGCTCCGGGGCGCAGGGGCGCCTGGGGCCGCCGACGAGTTCGTCGTCGAGAAGCGTCTCCCTGTCCGGGGCCATAAAGAAGTGCATCCAGGAGGGGGCCGCGCGAGGCGTCAGATTCGTGCCATCAGGAGCGAGTCGCGAGCCAACCTCCGCCAGCAGGGGCCCCCGTGCGCCCCCCTGGGCAGCCCTGCGCCATCCGCCCGCCCAGGCGTCTCCAACCTTGGCGAGGGCGATGCGGCGTTCGAGGGCATGGGCGACATCCCAGACATGTTCTATCGGATGAAGACGCCGCCCGAGGTGCGGCCGCGCTTCGTCTTGGAGGAGGTGGGCGCCAACGAGTTCGCGGACTCCATGGCTGCCGAGGGCCAGGGATGCACCGTGCCCGACGGCCAGCGGCATCTGGCGCTGAAGGTTCTGGTGACGGGCTGGTCGTGAGCCCCTTTCCGGGCTCGCTCGGCGCTGCAGGCTTGCGCTGCTCGCGGGTTCGGGGGGGGGGCCCATCGGCGCCCGCCTGGCCCGCGGGGCCCCGACGCTGCAGCTCGTCGGCCCCGACGGGCGCGAGGCTGTGAACTGGGCGCACATGGGCGACTGCGGGGTGCTGGCCACGTCCGCCAGCGTTCCGCAGCCAGTCCACGTGGTCGCGGAGAGGCTGGCGGCCCTCGTCAAGCACAACCTCGAGAAGGTAGGGCCCCCCGTCCACGAGGAGATCGAGAGCGAGGGGCTCGAGTCGATGGGGGCCGTCATCCAGGGCCGCCCCTGAGCGGCACCAGCCGAAGTCGAGCGCGCCTGCCGGTTGGCGCCGGCGGCGCCGCGGCTGGCGGCGCGGCCATGGTGGGCCGCGGCAATGCTCGATCGTGTCGCGGGGCTCTGGGCGTGGGCGGCCATCTTGCAACGGACGGGCCTCGTCGTCCTCGACCAGGTCTATCGCGAGATGAGGCGACCCGAGGCCGCCCAGCCGCCGTTCAGGCTGTCGGACTCGGCCAGGTGGGGGCCCATGACGATTGCGCGCTGCGCCCCGCCACGCGCGGACCTCGAGGCGCCTTGGCCCCCGCAGGTGTTCATGGCGGACCCCGGCGACGCGGGCCATGGGGCGGCGGACACCGACGCGTCACTCGACGGGAGGACGCGCACAACAGCGAGATGAGAGGATGGACGATCGCCACCGAGGACAGCTACACGTACCAAAGGGAGGGCGCCTGGGTGCCGCGCGCGGGGGGCTGCGCCCACGACGTGGACGACCTCGCCGAGTCGTCGGCCGAGGCTCCACCCCGCGCGGCTCGGCGCGTCTACTGGGCGCTCTTCCTCTTCGCGCGGGGGCGCCGAGAGGGGGGCTGGGGGGGGCGATCCACGAGCGGGCGGAGGTCGAGGGCAGCGAAGTCGAGGTCTGCTCCATCGATGCCGTGATCGACCCGAAGCACGACCTGACCGACCAGGTGTTTGTCGGCATGCTCCTGGGGCTGGCCCGCGCGGGGCATTTTCGCGCGGCGGTCGCCCCCCCCCCCCCCCCCCCCCGCGCTCGACCTGGGGCCGAGCGCGCTTCCAGGGCAGGGGGCCGAGGCCCTTGCGGACGCGTCGAGAGCCGTGGGGCCGGGGCGACATCGCCTTCACGGCCTTCGAGCGCCTCCGCCTGGACGCGGGTTCGCGCCTCCCGCGAACCGCCATGGAGGTGATTCCCGCGGTCTGCTCGGCGCGGGACATTGGGGCACCCCGCGCCCGAGGAGGGGCCCAACCCGTCCATCTGGAACCGAGGTGACAGACCTCGCCCAGGAGACGGGCGGCCAGGTAGGTCGCTCGCGTCGACCAGCACCGCTACGGGGCGTCCTTGTTGAAGCCCACCATGATCGCCATCTTCGGGAACTACGACGGCAGGGCTGGCTCCGCCGTGGATCAGCTCTGCCTGCAGTTCGATCGCCGAGGGCAGCGTCGAACTGTTCTGAAAGGGCGAGCAGAGCGAGGGCGGCCCAAT